AAGGACTATCACAACCATTGCTCATAATATAATAATTAAATCGTAAAATAATTCGTGGACAAATAGTGGTATAAGACTTACACCACTATTCATCCTCGAATTGTTTGCTTCATATTATTGGGTACAGTTAGCGCTCCAGCTGAGGAATGGACAAGTATTTTATTTTATTTGTTTCATTGCTGCAAATATCGTCTGGAGACAAAATAATTGTCAAGGCAGATTCCTCATCATGAAAACATCAAAAAAAAAAAAAATTTCCTGATATTGCTGCCTATTTCGAATAAAAAAAATTATATTTATAATTCTAATTGATGGAAAATCAAAATTCCCGCTTGATCGCACGGTGGCCCTCTGCCGGTATCGGTCGAACCAGAGCTCAAGCAGAGAGAGATACCGAATTAGAGCAGGTAGATTTGTTAAGTGGATGAGGCCCCTCTCCCAGCTCTGACTAACGAAGGTCGGAGCCGCATGAGCCTAATGAGCCCAGGTTGCCGGGCCCTGATATAGATAATATGAACGATCCTGCAGATCATTGGGTTTGTAGTTATTACGATAAGATTAATATTTATAGTTTGGATTCTACCTGGACGGAAAATAAACAAGTTCATCCAAATGGTTGATTTTTTTGAAGAAACTTTATCCCTTCTATCCTTTTGACACCAAAGGAATTTCCTTTTTACCCGTTCCCAAACAAACAAATGCCTATGATTGTGGTGTATTCGCAATAGCTTTCGCCACTTGCATTCTGAACGGTCAATGGCCAGATCTAGCGGAAATTTCATTTGATTTAAAACATGTGGGTTGTTAGAATCTTCAGAAATGGAGAAATTACTGCTTTTCTTAATTCATCGGGGAGTTGTATTCGAGTTTTGAATACAACAAAAATTGTTGGTGAAGACTGTAACCACGTTAGAGTGCAAAAAACTCCGAATCACGATCGAATGAAAAAATGCCGATGTCCACAACTGGACTGCCCACTCCAAACAATAATCATTCTCCTATTTTGGCCGTGAGTTCTAAATACGACCAATCACAAGAACGGCACAGAGGGAATGACTAACAGCTGTTGCTGAATCAAATTCAAGAAGGACTGAAACTAACTGATCAGCACATGTTACAGTTCAGCAAAATTGTTAAAAAATATACCGATGATGAACTGAGAGATACTCTTTTCATACAACGTCCAACGAGAATAGAGCCTGTGTCCTTGAATGAAAAACACATTCAGATACTTTTTTCCTCCATTGACCACTGGATTTGCTGTTATTATGATTACAGAAAGATTTACATTTATGATTCGTTAAATATGAGAACTTTGCATCGGGATCATCAAGTATTTTTGCAGCAATTGTTTCCATTTAATAATGTAGAAAATAGTACTGTTACTTTTTACAAAGTTCAAAGTCAACCGAACTTCGAAGACTGTGGAGTCTATGCGAGTGCGTTCGCAATTGCTCTCTTATTTTGTCACAAATGTTGAGCCACGGAAAAAATTCTTTGACTGAGTTACAATTTATTGAAAATTGTGTATTTTTTCAAGTATAAAAGAAAAGATTTCATTTCCGCGAATTATGAGAAAATGAAAACTTTTTTTTAACGAAATGATGCCAAATTTGAAAAAATCTATAGATGAGGCAAAATTTTTCCTCACTCATAGTTCAAGACCATCCTCTTACCATACAGAAGGTAAAGAGAAAATGTTGTACGAAATTTCGAACATAGTTTTTTTTCCACTGTTGATTGAGCGTGAAATTGTCATTTTATCATCCACTCCTCATTTCTAATTTTCTGCTAATTCTTCGGAATGAAAAAAATGTTTTTTTTTGGAAGCAATGTTCGGATGCGAACCCATTTCAAACCAATTCAGGGCTGCAAACCATCAACGAGGAAAATTTAATAAAGCTCAAGAAATATCATCTCTGACGTTTTTTGAAAATTACCCTTTCTATTCGATACATTAATAAGAAAAATTTTTTCCAACCGCGGCGTAAGAGCGGAATCGTGCCGTAGGCAAAATTTGAGCGTAGCACCAGGCAAATAATGCGCAGATATCTGCGCAGTAGAACGCAATCGCGGAGTGCGCATATGTAGAAATCTCGCCTGGCGTCACTGGCACTTCTTTTTTTTTGAAATGGGTTTTCATGATTTTTACAACAGTATATGCATAGAAACATTTATAAAAACTATTCTTAAACAATTATGACAGAAGATTAGAATATATCAACATTGGCCATGTTGGACTCTCGTGTTAACACCTTATGGTATTAAATTCATAATACTAATTAGGTTTTATCCAGTAATTGTACATTTTTTAATTTTTTAGTAAAACATTCTTTGTGTTTATGTGAGCCTAAAAAAAAAGTAAATTCAAAGAAAGGAAAAGTAAAGACATTACTTTTACAATGGATTAATGTAAGAAAAAAAGACGCAACTGTATTTATCAAAAGGCATCACTGGCACCAGTGGAGTTGAGTGGGCTCAAACCTCTCCCTTGCGCTAGTCTTGACGGTACTGATGGAAACATTGAAGATGTTGGAGATTGCTGATGCATGGTGGAGTTGCTACTGATCGTATATGCAAGGCATTTATTATTATGATTTTTATAATATTCACACACTGTAAATTCTTCAGATTCTTCGGCATGGAACACTATTCTTCATTAAGAAACCTATGTTTCAAATGAAATAGACCACAGACAACAAGATATTCCCCATGTGGACGATCACACATCATCTTCATTCATGCCTGAAAACCATCTCATGACATTTATTGGGCGCGGTGTGTCGGAAATATCATGGTCTGGACCAGCCCTCTATGGCCAATGAGAGATTTGCTATGTTCGTTAATGGGTTCGTGGGATAAGTGACCGAGTACAACGACACTGTCCAAGACCGGACCGTTGGACCGTTGATGTTGGGTAGCAAAATACATGAGAAAATACCAAAATGTATGCTATTCTCTTTAATTTAAAATGAGGAATATTATCTGCATTCCCCTAATTGCATTTTATCATCACCTATTTGTTATTTAAAGTTCGAATGCAACAAGGATTCATCCATTAGCTGCGTTTTCTTTGGCGCCCTCTTATTAGTCAGTTCATTACACCCCAAACTACAGTGGAAAATCAAATTTTTTAGAAATTTCGATTCTATTGAAAAATCATTGAAAGTATCTTTCATAGTGGAGTACGCAAGTCTTCTCCAATTTTGATATTTTGTAGCAGTTTTCATTCAGAAATGAACATATATAAGAATATATGTTCATTTCGTTGACCTTTTCCCAGATTTTTCGACATTTTTTGACATGGCAACGAGTTCACTAAACAGTGCCTATGAGTGCTTGCGACCGTGCTAAGATCTACATTGCTTAGGAAAAAGAGGACGAGATCTTTCTTCAGAGAAATTAAAGTCATTTGAATAAAAGAAAAATTGAAAAATCATGAGTGATTCCGGATTCAACAATCTCGGCCTTTTTTTAAGATGAAAATTAAGAAATTATGTATGATACATATGAGAAAACTTCGGGTATGATTAGCGCTTTTCGGTTGACTGGGGCCTATTTTCGGATTTTGTGAGTTCATTTCCAGACGCGCAACAGGCGCGGTTCACACTGCTTGTGTGGACATTTGAAGGTTCGCAGAAGTTTCAGATCCACTGGTGAATTCAGTCGACAGACGAACATGCGGTTGAGTTCATTGGTTCACTTTTGCGAACCACCAGGAATTTTATTTCGGAAGCTATCGATTTGGATGCACTTCTTAATACTTCCCTTCGGTACTTCAGGTACTTTCGGTTCAAGTACTTTTGGTACTTGTTGACCGGTCTCTGTTTTTTATTCATAGTGATTGTTTTCAATTAAAAAGACGCATTGAAAATAACTTTCACCACTGCAATTGACGATAGAAGACGAACTCATGGATGACTATGAATTAAAATCAGTGGATCAAGTCGATGGGAGAATGTAACAGCAGATCCGTCTATCGACTCAATTCAGCTGTGAGTTTGAAACTGTGCGCGAAATTTAAAATTTTTATACGCAAAGTGTGAACGGCGCTAGTTCCATATATGGAAATGAAGTCGCACAACTCGAGAATAGGCCACTAAAATTATAAGCCTCGTCAAAAATTGCTTTTTTTTTAAATTGTAGTGGCATATACTATTGAATTGCTGATACTTCACTAGACACAGCTTACCAGTAGTAGCAGTACCGCGAAATGCGCATGTATATACGTTAGTCTCTAGCCTCCGAACGTAACCGTGCAAATATCTCTACCATATCCATGTAAGTTCGTAAACCGGGTATCTACCTTTTCATGTGCTGGCATCTTATTTATGCTCGTCGGATGATATTGCAGGCAATTCTACTCTGCAACAAAAGGTCATTAAAATTGGTCATTTGTTAGCTGTAAAAAAAGTATTGAGTTTTCGTGAACTGAGCGGATTCCGTCTAGTATAATAAACGCACACTAAAATTCATTGAAGGATCAATCGATTGAAAACACGCCTGTTTTCTCTGCTTGCAGAGGAAAGAATATATAGCTCCATTCACAATGCCGAATAGTACAATAATTCTGTATCTTTAATGAAATGAATTCTGTCATTTTCCAGGTCCGTTTGTAAATGTGTCAGAGTTAGGTGTGCATTCATTTGTATCTGATTCTTGCTCCTTGAGGTACTTCCGAATCTGTGGATTGTAGCAGAGGGTTACGAATATTTGTATAGTTGGTAATCAGGTATACGTTGACAATTTTTTAATTTCGTGGAACTTTATTATGTGTGGTGAATTTTTTCATCAAAACTACTGACAACATCAAGGGCAAAATTATATGGACCTTATCATGGAAAAAAATTATCGGTTAAATAATAGAATTGCAACAATTTTCGTCAGTTTTTGTTCGATGTATAACATTTTTGATTAGAACTTCAACATGATTTCGTTAATCATCAGATCCTGGCTTCAATCTCTTTTCCTCGGCAGGTTTTTTTCCTCCTGTAAAAATATGAAAAATCATAATCATAAATAATAGATGCAATTATTCTATTATGCATATCATAAAGGTGAAGATGATTCGGAAGGTAGTAAACTATGATAGGATTAATGAAAAATTCTAGTGGAGGATTCTTGCCTTCATCAATTCCTGACCATGTGGCACTCTGCGCGTCTTTCTTGAATGCACTTTGAATAGTTGCGTCTTTCCCGTATGCAATTCAGCGGACAGCAGGATTGTGATTCTCTCTCCAATTTTCCAGAGCTTTTAAACGTGTGGTCGGATCAGTATTCGAGTTGCCAAAATAAAATTACTAAATTCAAGACCATTTTTCATGTCATTTTACCATTATTTTTTGCAATTGCAAAAAAATATTCGGTTATTTTTTTTTAATATGTCGTGAAGTAGAAAACTAGGATAATTGCATTTTTTGAGACCCGTTGTCGAGAAATATCGCGAATTTGAGGAAAAAGGACATTTTCTATTATTTTTCTTATAAAAAAATATTCATGCAAAGAATTCGTTAAGTTTCTCCATTTTCGAGATTCGGCCTAAAATAAGCCGCTTGAAAGATGCAGCTATTCCAACTTCCATGACTAAATGGTTTAGCGGACATAACCGTTTTCATTCAATCCATTAATTTTAAATATAATAAATAAAGAGGCTGACAATTGTCGCCTTCTGGCATTTGAAGAAGAATGTGGAAACATCATTTAATGGGATAAGAGATTTAGTCAGCTATGTACGTAGTGTACTGAAAATACATTGAATAAAACAATTGGATAGGAATATACTGCATTTTTTTAAGAGACTTATCTGAATTCTCTTGCGACGCTTTATTCGATAGAATTGATATCACTAAAAAATCCGTTCTATTATCTCATCTACTGTGAATAATGATGTCTTGATTGTTAGTTTTATTTCTTATCATGATCTCACCTCGGATATATATAAAGCACACCTAAATTTAATACTCACTCATCCATCGTCATGGTCTCATCGTTATCCCTCAATCCCGCCATCGCCGCACAAAAATCTTTCCCGACATTCTTTAAATGGATAGTATTAAGATGTGACCCTGCAAGTGAGCCCTGATCACAACCACAGAAGCTCGTTTCCATCGTGTAACTCCTGTGATGAATCCGGTCATGGTAACAATTTTTGAAATTGAAACAAAAAAGATTCTTAAAATCAGATCACCAATAATTCTGTGCGGTTATTTTCGTTGTAGATATACTGAGTAAAATATCCATGGGGCTCACCTTGTAACGCCGAGTTGGCGCCATATGGTGACCCTGGCCGTGGATTCCTTGTTCCTCTCGACCTTGAAGGAACACAACGACAAGGCAAAGGCAACTGATGTTTTTTGCATGAGTCGTGGAAGCATCTTATAAGAAAAAAAATATAAAAGGTAAAAAACAAAAAAAAATGAGTTAACTGGGACGAAGTTCTTTTCGCTATAAAATATATTAAAAGTTATTCTTAAAAGTAAGTTATAAGTGGGAAGGATAAAATTCCTACTACATGATTCATTGTCGGTAATAATTGGTAAAATAGTTACTAGGCATTGAACGGGTTGATCGGTAGCAGAGAGAGCACGATCACTTGTACTCCATGATCCTGACCTTGAGCAGCCAAAAAGAAATACGTTTTTCCTTGTCGAGTGTCCATGATAATCCACGAAGACGTGAGGTGATCTGAGTAACACCCTGGTGCAGTACTCCATGAGACCTTTTGTGTGGTATATTATAGGGTGTAGAATAGGATTAGGATTACTCCAACGGCGATTAAGATCTTCGTTAGTAAGTCCATACCGGTTGCTGTAAAAAAATAGAGAATGAGGAAAAAACTATTTAGCTGCGAAAAATATATAAAGTTAGCCGGTGAGTTTGTAGGAGAAAAACATTTTTCAAGGTTCGTGTAGTGCAACCAAAGGCATGCGCCATGTAACTGGCACTTTTTTACTCTTGCACGACAATGAAAAAGAGGAAATTCAAGTTGAGTTGTACGAAGCGCAGTTCAAGCTTTAAATACAACTGATATAAATTCGTTGGCAATGATTTATGTTGTTTAATACACTCGGTAGGAGGTTAAATGAATAGAAATTATGTATCGTAAGGATAGCCATCATATCTCGGTAGAATATTCCCTTATATGAAAAAAGATTAATAGGAAATTGTTGAAAGACTTCTGGTATCTGAATTTTGAAGGTTAAAATATTAAAAAGCTAAATTCAATTCTGCAAATGGGAATTAATCAAATTTGTCACTAATTTCGCATTGCAGCGAAGGCGCCATCTGATGCATCATAAATTTTCGATGTTAAAAATCTATGAATTCACTGATTTGACGCGATTAAAAATAAAAAACTTCATGTTCATAGGATGCCTGACAACCACTAAATAAATGAATGAAGAGGAAATTACTATTTGGAAATTACGTACAGACTCTTCACGTATTCTTCACTGAAGGATCATTTTCCTGCCACCGATAGAACGGTCGATAGAAAAAGTCCGCCTGTGCGGCTGTGTCTATCTGACACCATGCATAAACCACTTTTAAAATACGCCCATTCAGAACGTATTTTTATTGCTATAGCATTTGTCATATTTTTGTTGTCATATTTACAGGTTTCTGTAGAAAAACTTACTTATTACTTTAAAAGAACCTGTGGTATTTTAATTTAAGATATATTGAATGAATCATAATTTCTATGGTAGTTCGATGATTTTTCTGTATTTTTTATAAAAATTTGTAAATTCCCAACAAATTAATTTTTCCATATGGCGTAAAGCGTTTCGAATGATTCAATAATGGAAACACTCCAATCCGTCTTCATGAATCGCTTCCGTCATTATAGCTGACAACAAAAATCTACTTTTTTACTGATGTTGAGGCTCCAACTTGCGATGGTGCAATTATTACCGCTACGCACTTTGCAGTAGACTATCGCGATTTTTAAAAATGGTATATGTATAATGTTAATCCACTCAAGAGCGCGACAAAGAAATATTTGAAGGATGGAAGTACTTGAGAATTGTAGATTGTGATTAAATGTCCTATTTCCCTTCCTCGGTGCAGATTGTATTTTCTGTCATAACAACAGCTACACGGAAAAATTCGATTTTTCTTCTTAAATAGTAGGAGGAACATGGATTATGCCATCCCGAAAACCCTTAAACACAACAGAAAACCGAGGAATGGAATACGACATTTTCGTCCTGTCATTTGGGGGACTAAAATCGAATTTTCCGTGAAGCTATGACGGATAGGTTTTTTTAGAAATTGAGAAGCTGTCGGATTGGTCTGCGAATAGATTGCCCCGAGCCATGTTTGCATGTGAATTGACTCAAGCAGAGAAACTGAAAAATTAAATCAATGACTTTTCCATTTGTGAAACTAGTTGAAAAAAATGGATCTACCGATAATGGTTAAATATGATGAAAATTGAAGAATGCGAAATCTTAAAACTAGTATATTAGAGTTAAAGGATGAAAATTAATTTTACAACTGTAAAGTAAACTGTAAAAAAAAAGTGTATTCACACTTGTGAAAAATGACGTTCATAAGCGATTGTACACCAACATCCGTTCACTCCATGTACAATTTAAATTGACTATCGCGTACTAATGGAGATCGTTGTTAAAAACTGATTTCTCTTCATTACGTACCAGTTTTTTGTGTAGTCTGAAAAATTTCGCTATTTGAGATGTGTACTTTGATGGCTTCTACGGAATGATTATTTTAAGTAGATGGCATGAAAATTATTATGTAACGAATGTGAGTTTATCGGCCGGTACGTACGCAACGTCGAATTTTGAACTTGAGAAAATAATGAGAATTTTAAATGCTAACATCGCACAATCATAAAGAAGGCAATCTCTGTAGAAAGCCAAAATAATATTTTTACGGTTTGTAATTATGGAGGTTTTTTTCACTCGTATAGAGTTCACAGAGCCGAGCCGAAAGTGAAGCGATCAACCACACGAGAGAAAAAAACCATAACTTTGGTCCAGGAATTATATCATTCCCTAGTAATATAGAAGTATAGCAGATCAATGCTGAGAATTCTTCACAAGTAGTAAAGGAAATAATTTTTTACAACTCTATTCAAAGGCGACAAAATGTACATATGGGTCCAAAATATCAACATGCTTATATATGCTAATAGAGATTTGTACATAAATGAAGCGGAATGCGCGAAATCCTCCGTGTTTTAGTCAGGTACTGTAGGAATTAACAATTATGTTCTCTCTCTATTTTCTTTCATTAAACCAAATGGATTCGTAAAATGTAAGAATATTTTGTTATGGACCAATTATGTGTAATGATTAATCACCGAGAAATAAATGGGAGAGTTTTGTTTGTTCTCTAAAATCGTGAACAATACGAATTACTGAAATGGAAATTGTGTACGATGTGGAAATAGTCAAACCTCTGTGCTTAAATTCAAACAAGTCAAGAAAATAAATGCTAAAAATAAAGTAGCAAATATGAATAATGAAAATGAAAAGAAGTCGATGCCACCTCACCGACCTTTTTTTCAATAAATTCAAGTAAATAATAAGACCAGAACGACGAACAGTAGAACGCATAATGCAAAACGAGAGGATCCAATAACGCCGGATAACCGAATAACAAATTTCATCTAATTAGTGCAGCATTTGCTTCAAGCGCTTCGGATTTGACGCAAGAATTTTTCCATTTCATAAGCTAAATTGAATAAGCAAATAGTGAACTTCTGTTTATAATTTATTTTTTCGATAATGAGGTACGATCACGGTTTCCATTTCTTTCCCAAAAACTCGAGTGAATGTAGATTTTTTGGACTTATTTTGCAAAAAATAACTAATAAAGTGTAGAAATCTGGCTGTTTTAAATGAAATGATTCATTCAAGGGATAAAATAAGTAATTTCTTATTCTTGATACTTAGGCGAATATACGAAACGGAGAATGTCTCTTCCAGTCGGCATGGGAAGTCGTATGCGAAAGGGGAAGTGTTTTACTGGAAGATATAATCTTAAAATAAAAGATGCTAAGTTCTTTACTTTTTACGACTTTTGGAATATTCGAGCAGATCATTGAGGTTTTCAGATTATATGCTCATTCTGATTGGACTACATCATGCGCCACGGGGAAGAAGTACTGGTCAGTGTAATCCAGAGTCATTTCTGCACTTCTTGCCGCTAAAATTCCACGAAGACCGGAAACGATCCAGAAAATGGTCAATCAGTGGATCTGGAAGGGAACTTAACACTCAGTGGCCCCTCAACGCAGAAAAATAATGATCCGAAACCATCCAAGCTTGAAGGCAAAATAAACCGACATCGATTTTTCGGCTCGGCCAATTTTACAATAACGCACGGAACCCGCCAAGAAAAAAGCAAATAATATATTTATTAAAGGCACAAACTTACTGTGGAATTCCTCGAAAATTAGCGGCTGACTCATAAGAACAGCTGTGAGCCACTATATTTTATAGTCGCTTCGTCTACAAATTCCTGTTATTTTTGGTGAAAATCAAACCCTCTTACTTAATTTTTCACAATGCGTTTTTCAATTATACAATATTTTCTTTCATAAACAATTCGTTTTGACAGAGGACATCCAAACATACAAATATTTAGAGTAAATAATGTGAGATGGGTGATATCGTTTGCAATTATTGCATAGCATAGTTCTTCGAAACAGTTGAATTTCGCCGGTACTACTGATTTGATCGGATCCATCCTAATTGGGACCATTTTATCGAAATTTTAAGTTTAAATCCTTTCCTTAATTAAAAAACTTACGTAACGTTTTTAGTCACCGTTTTATTTTGCTAAGGTATCATATAATATCATAAAATATGATTGTCTAAATTTTGAAAAAATATATATATTATACTGTGATATCCATAAATTATTAAAAATTCAGGCCACTTTCAGGAATTAGAAAATTTCAATAACGCATTGTGATTTCGCAATTGTCTTTTAACAATTCTGAAATCACTCCAAATAACTCGGACTACTTAAAGTCCAAGAAAATATAACATTAAAGTAGAACAATAATCACCGAAAATTCGACCATGTGACGAAACATCACACCTCGAATTTTCGCCATCACCCACTCCCACTCCAATCAGCTAACGCCCAAATTCAAATTATCAAAATCGAATTGAGAACAATTAAAGTCCAATCGCGGAAAAATCGTGGAACCCTACGGTTCTCTTTCTTGCAGTTTAAATTCGACTCACGTTAATCTTTTAAAATCGAATTACAACCACGGCACCGATAATAACAATATCTTTTTGAATTATGGCGCTTGCTAAATCATATTCCCCGTAACATCGATATTTTTCGGTTAATTGATCGTCGCCTGAGATCCGTTAGATTACTGACATTTTAGAATTTTTCTCCTTTTCAACTTAAATCACATTTAAAATCATCAAGAGCTTCCGCGGCTCCAAACGCTCTTTTTGGAACATTCTTAACGTGTGATTTCTCTTCTCTTTCCAAATCCGAAACGCGGATTTTGGAAATTCCGTCGGTTTTAAATTGTGAAACCGGTCGTGTGTATTTTATTCAGTGAGGTCAAAAAACATTGAAGCCCACTGTTTTACAACGAAATTCTGAAGCCCAGAGAACGCAAGAGAGCACCTCTGGATAAATAAAAATTGTAATAAGACTGACAAAGAACTGTAAGTAAATTTAAACATTATAAAATTGTAACTCTCATTCTCACCCCTTTGAATTTTGAATTATATAGAATCAAATAACAGATCAAAATTGTCATGAATCACGCGTTATAAAAGGAATAAGC